TATTATTATTATTATTATTATTATTATTATTATTATTATTATTATTAGTTGGCTTTTGATTAGAAATGTTCCTTATTTAGTATTAGGAGTGTACTCTTCAAAGGATAACTTTTTGTTGCTTTATAAGATTTCTATAAGGGTTCAAGAAAAACTTATTTTGAAAATATGAACCGAAAATTAGTACATGACAAAACTGCCAGTTTTCTGTATATTTGATCTCTCTACCTGTATCGTTCCATAGTCTTACCCAACTTCATGCAAGGCAACATATCTTTTTATGAATGTTAAAATAAGCATGATTTCATGCCAGTCATGTTTACTTGTTACCATCAGCAGGATTCCAATAGTAATGTGCACACAGCAGCCTAGGTCCATGTGAATCTCATTTACTTATCATCAGCTGCTCCTCCAACACTCAACGCTTGAATTCATTACAGCTTTGAAGCTGTTCTCTCTTCTTCTCAACACTTTTTGTCACTTTTTTGCAAATTAAAAACACTTAAAAAAAATCTTTGTTTGCCTGGTTGAGTTTTGCTAATTACTCCTACAGCTTTTCAAAAGAAGAAAACTCTAATTATCACATCTTTTCAGAGCACATTTGTAGTTCTAATTAGAAACCTCCAGATATGGCTTCTACATCCACAAAGTCTCTATTAATTCAAGCCCTGTCATCCCCAAAAGCTGATTTAACCTAAAAAATGTGTTGATCACGCTGTGAAAAGCTTTAATGGCTTTGCTTCTAACAGCAGAGAAAAATACTTCTCTAGGTCTTTTACATGACCCAAAAGAGTTGTCTGGACTGCATGAAACACATGTGGAATAAAAACCAAAACCCTGCCGTGGTTAGTAAATCACATGGAATGCTTTTATCGTGCCAAGCAGACGTATTTAATTAAAACATAATTTTTCAGACCCAAACCTGCTTACTTGTTGATCCTTCCATTTTATGGATATTCTACCCTCGTTGGTGATGCCCAACCAATGACACATTGTTGGATTACATAGATTTAAAGCTGTTTAATTGATAAAAGACCTCTGTAGGGTGACTGGACATCTGCCAAGTGCATGATGGGATGACTGTCATCTCATGTTGATTCATATACTGATGGCAAGTTGAAGCCAGTAGTCTAAAAAAAACTTTTATGTAGATTTCGGCATGTTGAGTGTTATTTCTAAAAAATCTGTTTACAGTTGTATCCTAGATGAGGAGGGGGAAAAAAGTTTTATTCATACTTTGTGGTATTTCAGGATTGACATAGCCACCCCTAAAAAACGTACCTGGACCCCGCACCTTCGTCTTGAATTACTTTGTACGTCAGAATATTTAATCTGGTGAAAGTGCATGAGGTGCAAATTATGGAAGAATGACCAAAGCAATAATGTTTGCTAAATTCTATAGTTTTCTTTTGAACTTGTCACAGCTGTGAACACGACATACATCACCTTGTCTGGATCAGTTTCAGGGTTAAATTTCACACTGGCCTCTTCACAGGAAGGGCTGGATGAGATCAGCCAGTCAGTCTTTGATGTGAAAGGGTACAGAATGTATTGTTTGGATTTTGACATTCGACATATCAACCCCTTGGTGACTGACCTACAGATCCCCACAACATCCTAATTGGTCTATGTATAAGTGATTAGACGTGATAATAGATACTGCATTTGCAGTTGAAGGACAAAAAAGGATGATCTTTAAAGGATCTTTACAGTATATTTGAACTTTGTGGCTGCAGCCAATTACACAGTGCATAACACAGTACATGAAGCATTTTTACTCACATTTGATGAATTTCATTCATGCACAATATTTTCGTTAGACAGAAATTCTGGAATGTTGATTTATTTTAGAGAAAATGTGTTGAAAGTCAGAATCTGTATTCATTTTGTCCAGATATAATATATAATATATGTAGATAATATATATAATTTACGGTGATGGAAGTAATTTACTGCTAGATTTTCACAGAAGTGAAGCTACTGTGAATTGTTAACTGTGAGATTCTGAATCCTTTTGGTGAAAGTACAAGCACTTTAGCACTATTTTTTTTACAATATAAATCCAATTGTGGAATAGGAATACTATACAGATGATTAACCTTTCAGCACTTGGACTTTCCTTTGGTGACAAGGGTCAGTCAGTGCAAAGACATGCTCTTATTGGATTAATTGTATCCACAAGCTGGGAACCTTTAACTTTGTGGTCATATTTGTCACTTATTTGCTATTCAGGATAATCAAAAGAACATAATCACAGCAAAGTGAAAACTACCGGTACTTAAAAGAAAAATGGACTTTGTTCAC